TGGAGTGTGACGGCGGCGAGAAGCAACACCCCCCCCACTGTGTCCGACAGGCGTCTCGCGTTTATGTCCGCCATAAATGTGAGACGCCTGTTGGACACAGTGCCGGGGACGTTGCTTCTCACCGTTGCTGCAGTCTTGCCTCACCAACGGTAACCGTCACCGCACGTCACTGTATCTGATGTATCTTATCTAACCATCAAAATCATAACTCATAAATTCATTTTTTCTGTTTTATACAAAAATGTTGATAAAAGGTTTCCAGTAATAAACTTTCCAGATTGCATTTTCTCTGATCAAACAAATCAGTTTGACGATCTCAGCAAATTTTGTCATCTTCACCAACTATTTATCTGTTGTAGGTATTGCCACAGCTTTCCATCTTTGTTCATACTTTCCATCTTTGTTCATACTCACTGAAGTTATAAAATTCTTTTACTTTTTTTCTCAACTGTCCATCAATCCCAAGAAGAGGTGGTTACAGCACTTTCTAGATTACTTAGTTCATAGGAGAGTAAGTTTTCCAAATAAAGCCAGATCATTGTAATGTTAAATTACAAATTGCATTACATGTTGTGATCCAGTTAAAAGATGCATTTGCTGATCAGATGCTGATCAGAACACAAGGATCTTGTTCTCCCAGAAAGAGCATGATGTTTATATATTATTATTATTATACAGTCTTTGAAGGCTATTGTTTAAACTTATGCCAGAAATCCTATGCTATTTTGTGCTCTTGGTTCATTTTATTCATATATTGTAGATCCAGAAATAAATGTACTTTGACAGTGAAGATAGGAGTTCTATAGAGAGAGCTGCTTTATATACAGAATTTCTAATAAAGCAGTTGAAGGCAACAGTGATACTTTCTTTTATTTTCCCCTTCTTTCCCCCCCTTTTGTGTTTCCTACAATTCTGATAGGTATGGTAAATTTTACAGGATTTGGCTTTTTTTCTGCCATTATCTTGTGCTTTTAGGAAGTGTTCTACGTTTAGTATACTATATGAATTTCTTGCTCAGAATTGGCTTTCTGCCAGACTAATTCTCTTTGTACTGTACTTTTGGGTGCTTTTTGTGCAATGGTTTCCAAAGCCAGCACTATCTGGGTAGGTAGCTCACTTGAGAATTTATTGATTTATTTCAGAACTTAGTACGAATGCTTCCTTATAATGTGCAAAAGAGCTTTTACAGGAGTATAACAAAATGGAGTAATCCAGTATTCTTTGCCATTTTGTCAATTGTCTCCCAGCACATGAACTGTACTTCAAGTTGTTAAACTCTATTTGGGAAATGCTGATAGTGAAACAAATTTAAGGTTTTCACATATATAAAGAGGGAAAGGAAGGTGAAATAGGCTAGGAAGCTGCCTGAAAGGAAGTTGCTGAACTTGGAAAAAGGAGCCAAAGATAGTTGGCAAACCAAATCGGATTTAAGCAGTTTTGGCTGCTGAAGAAGTGTAGGTTCTAGAAAAGATGGAACACAGGATTACCAAAGATGTAGGCAGACCAGGCTTCAAGAAATAAATCCACCTCGCAGAGAATTATGGAAGAAGAAAAAGATAGTGATATGTTATACCAATGAAAAGTAATATATTGCTAGATAAATTTCATAGGAAACCCTTGGTTAATTTTAAGGATATTTTTATGTCTTGCAGGAACATGATGAGAATTAATGCAAGTAGGAAGTTCTGGATAGGTAGGAACAGATGGTAGCAAGCCAGATTTAGATTGCTTTGACCATGGTGACCTTATTTAGTTCCACCCACTGCTCTACTGGCCCCATTAAGCACATGAGATGCATTTGGCAAAGTCATTGACTGAGACATTTCTTTTCAGGCTTATACTACGCCAAATGAACCGCCTCCATGGGTTGAGGAAAAGAACCCTTCATATCATAAAGCAATATTATTACTGGAACAGTTAATATGAACTAACAAAGATTATTTTCATTGGGCAGTTAGACTTCTGAAATCACACAGTCATAATACCTGAGTTTGGATTGCTCATGTGGAGATTGGAACTGTATATTGTATACCCAATTTGTCCAAAGGTGGAACTAATTTAAATAGTTTCTATTAAATGTTTCTGTTCTTTCATTGCAGGTTGGCTTGATTTATATGTTCAACCTCATAGTTGGCACAGGAGCTCTAACTATGCCAAAGGCCTTTGCTGCTGCTGGTTGGCTTGTCAGCCTTATTCTAATAATGTTCTTGGGATTTATGAGGTAAGATTTTGCTACATGTTACTTCTGTTAAGTTGGCTAAAACAAGAGGTATGTAGAGATATACCTGGGATTAGCTGCAGCTCATTGGACACCAACTTTCTTTGTTGTATATTTTCAGCATGGTCACCAGCAAGTAGGGTCAACATAAAATATGCTGCTTTAACTTAACATAGTTCTGTAAATCAAATTCAGCAGCATCTTTGGACCCACTGGAATCACATCTTGAAAACTAAGGTTAAAAAAGTTGAGCTGGTAAAAGACCTGAGCAACAGTGACATGACCCACAGAATGGAATTGGGGATCACAGTGGAAGAAATAAGAAACCGTGTCTTTTGACCTACTTTTGCTGCCAAAAGTTTTAATTGATTTTTGGCAAATTGAAATAGCACAGTAAATAATAATAGCAATAGTACTTAGACTTACATACCACTTCACAGTGCTTAACAGCCCTCTCTAAGCAATTTGCAGAGTCAGTATATTTCCCCCAACAATCTGGATCCCCATTTTACCCACCTCAAAAGAATGGAAGGCTGAGGTCAACTTTGAGCCTGGTGACATTCAATCTGCCAAATTGCAGCAACTGGCAGTCAGCAGAAGTAGCTTGCAGTACTGCACTCTAACCACTGTGCCATTGTGGCTCATACACACTCAATACACACTTATTTTAAGTATAATGATACAATTTTTTAAAAAAATAAATTATTTCCTGTGTCAAGTTTTATTCTTAGTAATTACATAGATACATCTATTTTCTTTGTTATTACTGCCTTTAAAAATATCTCAGTTTAATCTATATCCTTGAAATTTCCTGGTGTTCTGTGTGACCTGTTTTTTTTCAGCCTAGACCTACTAATGTTTCACCACCTGGAACTATATGAAAATATAATTGCCCTGAAAATTAGATGCCATTCCTAAATTTTATGAACAATACTCTTTGAACAAATGTATCCTATTTTAATGCCATTCTTTTTATACTGTTACATAGGCACTTCTAATGCTTTACTGGGTTGTTTACTTAGCTGCTATTGTTAAAGTTAATGGAAGCTGAATGTCTTCAGTTTGTTAGGCAACTAACACATGAAGATAGCTTAGGAATTTGTTGGTGAATTGAATTATTATATACTGAATATCATAGAAGAAGTGTTTTCTGAATAGTCTAATACAGGCCTGTCAAATTGGCGGCCTGTGGGCCAGATGCGTCATGCGCAGGCCAAGCCCACCCCAGCTTTGCAAAGGCAAAAAATGTCTCAATACGTCATGATACATCATGTGACACAATCAAGTTTGACACCTGTGGTCTAATAAATGTAGAAAATTCTATTTTACACATGTAGTATATCCAGTAATAATTGTTTCAATGAAAATTAATTTGCTGCAATCAGATTGTCTTTTCTAAATTATGTTTCATAACTAAAGTTCCATGTCTATCTTTGCCTAATGCATACATTGAAAGTTTAGTTCATTTCTCCTGAGCCCTGGTGGTACAGTAGTTAGAATGCAGTATTACTGGCAAACTCTGCCCACAGGCTGGAGTTCGATCCTGGCGGACTTAAGGTTGACTCAGCCTTCCACCCTTCTGAGGGTGGAAATGAGGACTCAGATTTTTAAAGGCAATATGTTGACTTTGCAACCCACTCAGAGAGTGCTATAAAGTATAAGGAGTGGTATAAAAGTCTAAGTGCTATTGCTATTTAAAATAACTCTTGTAAAGCAAGGAGGTTACAGATCTCGCTGTGAAAACTAAATGCAGTGCAAATGCATTGCTTAAAAGTATCTATGGTAAAACAAGAAAACATTGAGTTGCAATGGAAAGAAGAGATACAGTCAAGAATGTATAGTGATGCCTGAATGTAGAAAAATGACTGCCTAGAACAAAAGAAGTCCATTCAGACGGTTTAGTCTCATAGAGAGAATGAATGAGAATTAAATCATGAAACCAAAATAATGAAGGAAAAGTGAATGGGAAAAGAGGAGGGAGAGTTGGAATTGGATGAGATCTTGGAAAAAGAGAAACATAAGAAATTCACAACACACCTGAGCAGCCATGATCCCCACCCCAGCCAGTCAGTCCCACCTGACCTACTTCTTGTCTGGCCGGCCGGCTGGCATAAAACCTCACCTGCTGTTCTCCTTCTTGTCCTCCCTGCTCAAGCGGCGACGTATGCAGGCAGGGGCTGGCTTACTGGGTGAAAGGGAGGCACTCTGAATACAGTCAGCCTGCAGGATAAGATGGTCCCCAGGGACGCCAGGCCCCGTGCATCTCGCTGCCTCTTGTTTGCGTGCCAGTGGGGTGGGGGCAGCCCGCGGATCTAAGGCTGGCCACTTTCTGGCCCAGATGGCCACCACTGGGTTGTAGATCAGCGCCCAGTTGACCTGGGTGGGCCAAGGCACCATGGGCCTTTCCTTTGCTGTTTCACAGGTCAGATCTGGCCAATGGACCTTGAGTTTGACACCCCTGCTCTAGATCATGGTTGCCCAACCTTTTGGTTTGCCTGGGCCTTATTGAGTGAAGAGGAATTGCATTGGACTGCATGTAAAATATATAACATAGTTAATATACATAAATAATAAATTTACTTTATTTTTCAATTTTTTATTACCTTGTGGGGCCTGATTATTAGCTGTCCAGGACCTGGTCTAGATGATATGGTTCTTCTCCCTACCCCGACCAGTAATGTCCCCTGGAGCGGAGTAGGGAGACAAAGATTGTATGTTGTGCAGAATAAAAAAATAGATTTAATCTCTCCCATTAATGTTTGCCTTAAGTATAGAGAATTAATGGTAATGGATCAGTTTTATACCTCTGAATGAACTTTAAAAGTGCACAGAACATGCAAGAATTTGTTCTGTACCATGCACACAAAAAAGATGTAAATAAAAAAAATGACCTAGTTCCCTTCTTAAATGCTTTCTATACACTGTGGTCATTAATGGTCTGTTTAAATTTGTGGATTTGTTAGATAACTGCAACTAATTATTTACCTACATTTAATTGTTCTACTGTGAGCATCATTACCTTCCATTGTAAAAGTATTTTCTTAAACAGATTTTCTTGTATTCTTTCTCCCTCAGTTGAGACCATGTTGTTTGCAAATTAATCTTATAAATTACTAGTGAAGGCATTGAAAAAGTGCTGGTTTCCTTGGATGGAAAACACAAATCTTTACAGATTGCTTCTGAGCTTTGTAAAAGAGATTATTTTAAAACTTTAAGGCTTATCTATAGTTTCCTACCTTGTGCTTTGATTTCTCTTCCTGTTCATTTCTTTGTATTGATAGGTTCTGTTCCAATTTGTAATTATTTGTTCTATTTGTATTGTATTGTCCTTCAAATTTTTCTTATTACTGTCAATTTGAAAATGTTTCCTGCAGTATTACTCTGATATTTTCATTTCTGTATAAACACTTCTGAATCTGTGATATCCCTGAAATATGTTTTATATAGTGAGAAGCCCTTAGGGGGAATTGTTTTTTAGGCCCCTGGGAATGTTTGTGTGTGTGTGTGTATGTATACACACACACATACATATACATAAAATATGTATTAATTATAGCAGAAATGATTTCTCATTCAATTTTTGTAAATTAGTTCAAATTGTACAGCAGGAAAATATTATTTTTGAGAATTACATTATTTTATCCTTTGCTCATTTTTGCTAAAAATAAGAAACAAAATAACTACCTAAATGGGTGAAAACTCAACAAATCAAATTGTAACATTGATCTCTTAATTAAAGGATCACTTACTCCCAGTTATTGTCTTAGTAGATCTTAAAAAGTATTTTCAATCCCTAATGCATATCATTGTATGTGAACCACTGATCTATTTCCATATACTATGGTAAATTAGGATTTTTTAAATTATGGTTTGTAAAATAAATATAACCTGATTTATATATACTAAAGTGTAATTGGTAGCTCAAACCTGCCACATTTATTACTTAATATGATGTGTAAGACCAGCCCTGGTATATCCATATAATCTAACTATTGCTGTTCTAGTCTTTTCTGTAAAGAATGGCATAAATACATGAATTTTCCCAATGGTTATTATCTACTGTTTCTGTGATACAACTGCTATCTGACTAAATAATAAAGTCAATGATGTAATAAAAATCTATGAAAGAGAGCCAATTTGGCATAGTGGTTAGGGTATCAGGCTACATCATGAGTTTTAGTCCTGTCTTTGTATAAAGCCAGCTGGGTGACTTTGGCCCAGTCACTTTCTTTCAATCCTAGAAAATAGACAATGGCAAACTTCTGAAAAACCTTGCCAAAAAAACTTCAAGGACTTATCCAGGCAACTGGACAAAATTGAACAGGGGGGGGGGGGATACCTATCCTATCTTTAATTTCAGTTTTGTAGTTCTTTGAAAATGTTGGAATAAAATCTGTCACAAATACGTAACATTGCGTGTTCCAAATGTGTCTTTTCCATCCATCTACAATATTTTAGTCCGGTTAATTTTATTAAGCTTTGCCATTTGACTCCTATCATTGAAGCTGGCTGGGAGAAAAGCAAAGTGTCAAGGGAAGCTAAGAATTGGAAGACAAACTAACTTGAGTTCTCCAAATCACAACTGATACCAAGGTGTAAAAATTAAAGTCCCACCCCTGCTTTATACAAAGGAATTTTGGGAAAAAAGTTGGCTGCCCGCATCATATCTAACTTTGCTTTCAATATTCAACATTGTCTGAAAACTTCTCAGAATAGAGCTTGAAAATGAATGTGTTAATATAAATGGAATATTGTGAATCATTTCTGTTTTAAAATAACTGACATTTTCTAATTCTCTTACAGCTACATGACGACAACTTTTGTAATGGAGGCCATGGCTGCAGCTAATGCTCAGCTTCACTTAAAGAGAATGGAAAAGCACAAGGTTTGTGTGGCATGTCTTAATCTGATATCTCTCCAATCATACTGTTACGTAGTAGGAAACTTTTAATATTGCTCTTGTGCCTGCCCTTAAAATACAGCAATAAATTCCCTACCATTCTGCAATTTTTTTTGTAAACAGCATTCTTTTCTCTCACTAAATTGGATATTCAGTATGATAGGGGAACTGGAATTCTAAGCATCTTAAAGACCCCATAGCTAAACAGTTTTGCTATTTTTCCAATAAATGTGTTTTTAATTTAGTACTTAATTTTTTTTTACTTAGAATTCTACAATAATTCTTCATTTTTGAGATCTAGCTTAATGTCTTACTCTTCTAGGAAGATGATAATGATGATGATTCTTCATCTGAAGTTTCTGATAGTGAAGTTCTCCCAGATGTCTATGAACGATCAGAAACACGGCCTATTCTATCTGTGCGTAAGTATCTAGCTGATTCTACTTTCATCTTGATAATATGTAAGAATCAATCTCTCTCTACAGTTCTTTGCCAAAGGCAAGTGAAAAAAGATCCCCATTCTTTATTTACACTTTCTGTAAATAATACAAGTGTGTCAGGAAATCAAACATTAGTAATACTTTGCAAACCATATTTTAATTGAAAAAAATAGTTTATCTAAGTCAAAAGCTTGCTCTTTTTTTGCAGCTGACCAAAATGCATATTTAAAAAATATTTTTCTTGATTCCAGGCCACATTGCTTGCAACAATGGTGTCCTTGTAATATACATATTTTGTCCTTCTTTGCAATGTTGGATACATAATTGGATAACTCTCAGAACAAACAACATCCCCATCCTCATTGGTTTCAGTAATACACGCCAGATCTCCCTGCTTGTCCATCCCTAAATAATGAATGAAGGTGGTTTTATTGCAGAAGATAAGCATTAATCCACAACATTATGAGGCCAGATTCCCTGATAATCTGGTTACCAAGCCCTTCAAAAGCATTAGAACAGAAGATCACATCAAGATTGGGAATTTCTCTTTTGTCTCTTCCTGGTTATAGTTTTCTTTTTATTGATACTACTTCTATATAAGTGACCCAGATAAATGTGCTGATAAATAAATAAAGGAAGACTAGTATAGATCTATTTCAAGCTATTTAGCTCTCATCAGCTAGCCATATCCT